CCTTCATGATACAGGGGTCCTTCATGATGCAGGAGTCCTTCATGGTGCAAGGGATCTTCATGGTGCACGGGTCCTTCATGATGCAGGGATCCTTCATGACGCAGGGGTCCTTCATGATACAGGGGTTCTTCATGGTACAGGGGTCCTTCATGGTGCAGGGGTCCTTCATGATACAGGGGTCCTTCGTGGTGCAGGAGTTCTTCATGATACAGGGGTCCTTAATGGTGCAGGGGTCCTTCATGATGCAGGGGTCTTTCATGATGCAGGGGTCCTTCATGATGCAGGGGTGCTTCATGATGGAGGGGTCCTTCATGATGCAGGGGTCTTTCATGATGCAGGGGTCCTTCATGATGCAGGGGTCCTTCATGATGCATAGGTCCTTCATGGCGCAGGGGTCCTTCATGGTGCAGGGGTCCTTCATGATGCAGGGGACCTTCATGGTGCAGGGGTCCTTCTATCATGTGGGAGTTCGACACGTGGATTAGGTAACGAAATACTCACGTAGGCTGGTAGTACATATAATTACAGATAATGTGGAGTGCGCCCTTACAGCCGTACCTATCTCTCTGCTCTCTTAACACTGACTGACTGGCCGCCCACAGTACCCATATGTGAGGGGGTCTTTGAATAATGCCAGGTCAGCGCAATATGAGTTCAGACAGTGACTCAGGCAGAGACGGTTGGTCGTTGAGTCAACGGTACACTGGTTACTGGTAACTGGTTACTACTACTGAGACTTCATGGTGCGGGGGTCCTTCATGATGCAGGGGTCCTTCATGATGCAGGGGTCCTTCATGATGCAGGGGACCTTCATGGTGCAGGGGTCCTTCATGGTGCGGGGGTCCTTGATGCAGGGGTCCTTCATGGTGCAGGGGTCCTTCATGATGCAGGGGTCCTTCATGATGCAGGGGTCCTTCATGATGCAGGGGTCCTTCATGGTGCAGGGGTCCTTCATGGTGCAGGGGTCCTTCATGATGCAGGGGTCCTTCATGGTGCAGGGGTCCTTCATGATGCAGGGGTCCTTCATGATGCAGGGGTCCTTCATGGTGCAGATGTCCTTCATGGTGCAGGGGTCCTTCACGGTGCAGAGGTCTTTCATGGTGCAGGGGTCCTTCATGGTGCAGGGGTCCTTGATGGTTCGGGGGTCCTTCACGGTGCGGGGGTCCTTCATTATGCAGGGGTCCTTCATGGTGCAGGGGTCCTTCATAGTGCAGGGGTCCTTCATGATGCAGGGGTCCTTCACGGTGCGGGGGTCCTTCATGATGCAGGGGTCCTTCATGGTGCAGGGGTCCTTCATGGTGAGGGGGTCCTTCACTATGCAGGGGTCCTTCACGGTGCGCGGGTCCTTCATGGTTCAGGGGTCCTTCATGGTGCAGGAGTCCTTCATGGTGCAGGGGTCCTTCATGGTGCGGGGGTCCTTCACGATGCAGGGGTCCTTCACGGTGCGGGGGTCCTTCATGGTTCAGGGGTCCTTCATGGTGCAGGGGCCCTTCATGGTGCAGGGGCCCTTCATGGTGCGGGGGTCCTTCACGATGCAGGGGTCCTTCACGGTGCGGGGGTCCTTCATGGTGCAGGGGATCTTCATGGTGCAGGGGATCTTCATGATGTAGGGGTCCTTCATGGTGCAGGGGTCCTTCATGGTGCAGGCGTCCTTCATGGTGCAGGGGGCCTTCATGGTGCAGGGTTTCTTCATGGTGCAGGGTTCCTTCATGGTGCTGGGGTCTTTCATGATGCAGGGGTCCTTCATGATGCAGGGGTCCTTCATGATGCAGGGGTCCTTCATGGTGCAGGGTTCCTTCACGGTGCAGGGGTCCTTCACGGTGCAGAGGTCCTTCATGGTGCAGGGGTCCTTCATGGTGCAGGGGTCCTTCACGGTGCAGAGGTCTTTCATGGTGCAGGGGTCCTTCATGATGCAGGGGTCCTTCACGGTGCAGAGGTCTTTCATGGTGCAGGGTTCCTTCATGGTGCAGGGGTCCTTCATTGTGCAGGGGTCCTTCACGGTGCAGAGGTCTTTCATGGTGCAGGAGTCCTTCATGATGCAGGAGTCCTTCATGGTGCAGGGGTCCTTCACGGTGCAGAGGTCTTTCATGGTGCAGGGATCCTTCATGATGCAGGGGTCCTTCATGAAGCAGGGGTCCTTCATGGTGCAGGGATCATTCCTGATGTAGGAGTCCTTCATAACTCAGGGGTCCTTTATAGTGGAGGGGTTGCTCATAGCTCAGGGTCCGTTATAGAGGAGGGGTCTTTCATAGCCTAGGGGACCATCATAGCACAGGGGTCTTTAATAGCACAAGGCTGCTTCTTAGCGCAGCGGCATGTCATAGCCTAGGGAAGCCACCCAACATTATCTGCATCCACTTCAGATTTGCGAATTTGTGACTTAAAATACCTTGTCAACAGGCTTTTTCTTTTTTACACTCAAGGAGTCAGTTTTCCGGCTCCTCCCTGCATACGTTGTGTGACACTGGTCTCCCCAGCACAGGTTGTGTGTCACTTGTCTCCCCAGCACAGGTTGTGTCACTGGTATCCCCAGCACAGGTTGTGTGTCACTGGTCTCTCCAGCACAGGTTGTGTGTCACTGGTCTCTCCAGCACAGGTTGTGTGTCACTGGTCTCCCAAGCACAGGTTGTGTGACACTGGTCTCTCCAGCACAGGTTGTGTGTCACTGGTCACCCCAGCACAGGTTGTGTGTCACTGGTCTCCCCAGCACAGGTTGTGTGTCACTGGTCTCCCCAGCACAGGTTGTGTGTCACTGGTCTCCCCAGCACAGATTGTGTGTCACTGGTCTCCCCAGCACAGTTTGTGTGACACTGGTTTCCCCAGCACAGGTTGTGTGTCACTGGTCTCCCCAGCACAGGTTGTGTGTCACTGGTCTCCCCAGCACAGGCTGTGTGTCACTGGTCTCCCCAGCACAGGTTGTGTGTCACTGGTATTCCCAGCACAGGTTGTGTGAGACTGGTCTCCCCAGCACAGGTTGTGTGACACTGGTCTCCCCAGCACACGATGCGTGACACTGGTTTCCCCAGCACACGATGCGTGACACTGGTCTCCCCAGCACACGATGCGTGACACTGGTCTCCCCAGCACAGGTTGTGCAACACTGGTCTCCCCAGCACACGATGCGTGACACTGGTCTCCCCAGCACAGGTTGTGTGACACTGGTCTCCCCAGCACACGATGCGTGACATTGGTCTCCCCAGCACACGATGCGTGACACTGGTCTCCCCAGCACACGATGCGTGACACTGGTCTCCCCAGCACACGATGCGTGACACTGGTCTCCCCAGCACACGATGCGTGACACTGGTCTCCCCAGCACACGATGCGTGACACTGGTCTCCCCAGCACACGATGCGTAACATTGGTCTCCCCAGCACACGATGCGTGACACTGGTCTCCCCAGCACACGATGCGTGACACTGGTCTCCCCAGCACACGATGCGTGACACTGATCTCCCCAGCACACGATGCGTGACACTGGTCTCCCCAGCACAGGTTATGTGACACTGGTCTCCCCAGCACAGGTTGTGCAACACTGGTCTCCCCAGCACAGGTTGTGTGTCACTGGTCTCCCCAGCACAGGTTGTGTGTCACTGGTCTCTCCAGCACAGGTTGTGTAACACTGGTCCCCCAGCACAGGTTGTGTGTCACTGGTCTCCCCAGCACAGGTTGTGTGTCACTGGTCTCCCCAGCACAGGTTGTGTGTCACTGGTCTCCCCAGCACAGGTTGTGCAACACTGGTCTCCCCAGCACAGGTTGTGCAACACTGGTCCCCCAGCACAGGTTGTGTGTCACTGGTCTCAACAGCACAGGTTGTGTAACACTGGTCCCCCAGCACAGGTTGTGCAACACTGGTCTCCCCAGCACAGGTTGTGTAACACTGGTCCCCAGCACAGGTTGTGTGACACTGGTCTCCCCAGCACAGGTTGTGCAACACTGGTCTCCCCAGCACAGGTTGTGTGTCACTGGTCTTCCCAGCACAGGTTGTGCAACACTGGTCTCCCCAGCACAGGTTGTGTGTCACTGGTCTTCCCAGCACAGGTTGTGTGTCACTGGTCTCCCCAGCACAGGTTGTGTGTCACTGGTCTTCCCAGCACAGGTTGTGTGTCACTGGTCTTCCCAGCACAGGTTGTGCAACACTGGTCTCCCCAGCACAGGTTGTGTGTCACTGGTCTTCCCAGCACAGGTTGTGTAACACTGGTCCCCCCAGCACAGGTTGTGTGACACTGGTCTTCCCAGCACAGGTTGTGTGACACTGGTCTCCCCAGCACAGGTTGTGTAACACTGGTCTCCCCAGCACAGGTTGTGTGTCACTGGTCTCCCCAGCACAGGTTGTGTGTCACTGGTCTCCCTAGCACAGGTTGTGTAACACTGGTCCCCCCAGCACAGGTTGTGTGACACTGGTCTCCCCAGCACAGGTTGTGCAACACTGGTCCCCCCAGCACAGGTTGTGTGACACTGGTCTCCCCAGCACAGGTTGTGTGACACTGGTCTCCCCAGCACAGGCTGTGCGACACTGGTCTCCCCAGCACAGGCTGTGCGACACTGGTCTCCCCAGCACAGGTTGTGTGACACTGGTCTCCCCAGCACAGGTTGTGCAACACTGGTCTCCCCAGCACAGGTTGTGTGACAGTGGTCTCCCCAGCACAGGTTGTGCAACACTGGTCCCCCCAGCACAGGTTGTGTGACACTGGTCTCCCCAGCACAGGTTGTGTGTCACTGGTCTCCCCAGCACAGGTTGTGTGACACTGCTTTCGAAACATTGTCTGTGTTACACTGTTTCCTCCGGCACAGGCTGCGTGTCACTGCGCACTCCTAAACCTGAACTGTGTAACACTGACCCTTCCCAACATGGGTTAAGGCACTGAGCCCCTCTCCCAACACGGGTTCTGTGGCACTGCACCCATAGTATGCTTACCGCACCTGTTTTGTCCTCTGCTTACCTGAAGATTAGTCAGAAACACGACTTAGTGATCACATAAGATTCTTTCTTACAAAAGGGCGCGAAGGCTGACGTACCTAGTCGAACAGCCAGGAGAGACGGTACGGAGTGCAGCCTCAGATGATAGTGGCAGAGAGGCGGAGCCAGCGGGGGAGACAGTGTATATATCAGAACCAGACAAACACAGTTGTCACATCCAGAGTCCCCCGGATCCCAGGTAAGAGCGATCAGATACTTGTACCGGGATCGGTTCTTTGCTATTGAAACAGTTATGTGAAAGCTGTTTGTGTGTGTATGTGTGTCTGCTGCTTGGGATTTTGTCATTAATGGGATAATTTATTCGTTTGTTTTATGTCAACCTTCACCAAATTGTTGGTGAAGAATTTTCACGAATGGTTGTCCAGGACAACAAGAGAACACTAAATAGTGTGTTGCGGCAAATTTGAGGAATTAGCAGCAATATGTACCAAATATATCTAACCTCAATAATCTTAACGTAAATTAACCTAACTAACTTCAGCTTATCTGGTGTTCTCGATAGGAATGACTCGGCGCTGTTGTCCTCCACTTCCTCTATGGAAAAATATACTTTCCCTGGATTTCCAGGTCACAGCTTTCGTCTGTATTTTTTTTCGCAATTTGTGCTTCATATTAGATAAGTTAAATTCAAATTTCAAGAGGATGCAGTACCTGAATACACGCCCTTGCTTTGTAAATAGGTTGAAATCTGTCTGTTTTCTAGTGGCATAGGAAGGTACTGTTGGCTCAGGGACAGAGGAGGAAGAGAATGAGTACACATAGCGGAGGCAGGAAGATATACACGATACCATGGCAGAAATAGCTTAATGCCCACCCAGAGAGATGGAACCAGAGTTGGATAGACCCGCATGGAACCAATGGAGTAGCTTTTCCTTTTTCCCTCCATCCATGACAAGAATCAAAGAAGAACCTACAGAGATACCTGCACAATTACAAATACAAACGCATACAGACTGAAACACATATACACCAACAAATCTGTATATACACAGACTTATAGATACAGACCTACACACACAGACCTACACACATAGACCCGCACACACAGACCTACACACACACAGTTCTACAAACAGACCTAATATGCATATACCTACACTCATAGACCTACACCCTATCCCCGTCATTCCCTACTACCACTAAAGACAACACACCACCATGATCACTCTTAGTCCTTAAGCCCCTACAACCACACACACTCATGACGTTCATTGCCATCTACTCATCCACACATCATCCTGTAATACCCCACATCATCCGATTACACCCAATATCCTATTGCACCCACCATCATTCAGTCACACCCCGCTTGCGCAAATACTCCCAACAACGTGAGGTATATACGCCCCATCTAAACCTTCATTCATCCCTTAAATCGATTGAATATCAAAATGGTATACAATACCGACAGGTTGGTAGGTAAGACACACAGGTAACAGTTAGGCAACTTTATTGCCTAACTGTTGCCTATGTGTCTTACCTACCATCCCTTAGATATGATAAATTATACACATGTGCAACACTTGGGAATCTTTATTGTGGAAACGTTTCGCCACACAGTGGCTTCATCAGTCCAATTCATTGAAGAAAAGTGGAGATAATAAGGAGATTAATGTAATCAGTACCTCAGCCTGGAGTCGATATAATCAGTCCATCAGTCGTGTCCAGGCTGAGGGACTGATGACCTCAATCTACTTCTGATCTTCGATTTTCTTCTTTGTATTGAATTAATGAAGCCACTGTTTGGGAAAACGTTTCCACAGTAAAGATTCTCACTTGCACAGGTGTCTAATTCATTAATTTGATGGTTCTCTGAACCATTTATCTACAGTTTTAGATATGCCGTTCCTTAACCATCCCGGGAGAGGAGTTGGCTCCTGGTTCAGCTTGCGCCCCTGAGACACTGGTAAATGCTTGTACCTGTTCTCCTTCTTATTTGTAAGTTTATTCAGGTACAAGTGCATTAGTGCAAATCATATTACTCCCGATCCTGTGAATGTAAGGACATGTAAGAGAGTAGAGACACGGAGATTTGAGACAATAAAAATCAGCAGTATCCAGTCCTCAAGAGTATACAAAAGCACCGATAAAAGAACGCGTAGAAACACAAGAACACGAGGAAATACGAGAGAAACACACGAATACGAAAGAAACACAAGAACACGGATAAATATTAGAGGGATACACATCCTGAAGGAAGGAACACAAAGACAGGGTAAAAGAAATGCAAAACATCTGATCATGGGAGATTATATTTGCAAGAAAAGTAACTGGGAGGTTAGTGAGTGGTACTGGAGGCGGTACTGGGGAACTTGTTAGATAGTACGAGGATATGAAGAGAGAATGAACCAGCTATATACACTGTGTCGCTTGCCACAGTTTTCCTGTACACGTCGTGTATTATACAGGAAGTACCAGGAACTATTCATGGCGTATTTTTGATAATATAATTGGCACTGCATTGTAATTAGTATAAGTGTATCACACAAATGGGGATCAATAATGCATATATGGAAAACACAAATTCTTTGCATATTGTGAACTTTAAACAAACAGCTTGAACTAAATCATCTGTATTACGTACTCCTTCAGTTATTTTATTTTATGGAATAAGCTTTAAAAAATCTTGTTCCAGTTCATAAGCTGTTTGGTCATTAAACTGGATTGTTTCTCTGAGTCTTGCGTAGCTGTTAGTGCTACCAGTAGTTCTGTTATGTGTTTCTCTGAGTCTTGCGTATCTGTTAGTGCTACCAGTAGTTCTGTTATGTGTTTCTCTGAGTCTTGCGTAGCTGTTAGTGCTACCAGTAGTTCTGTTATGTGTTTCTCTGAGTCTTGCGTAGCTGTTAGTGCTACCAGTAGTTCTGTTATGTGTTTCTCTGAGTCTTGCGTAGCTGTTAGTGCTACCAGTAGTTCTGTTATGTGTTTCTCTGAGTCTTGCGTATCTGTTAGTGCTACCAGTAGTTCTGTTATGTGTTTCTCTGAGTCTTGCGTAGCTGTTAGTGCTACCAGTAGTTCTGTTATGTGTTTCTCTGAGTCTTGCGTATCTGTTAGTGCTACCAGTAGTTCTGTTATGTGTTTCTCTGAGTCTTGCGTATCTGTTAGTGCTGCCAGTAGTTCTGTTATGTGTTTCTCTGAGTCTTGCGTATCTGTTAGTGCTACCAGTAGTTCTGTTATGTGTTTCTCTGAGTCTTGCGTAGCTGTTAGTGCTACCAGTAGTTCTGTTATGTGTTTCTCTGAGTCTTGCGTATCTGTTAGTGCTACCAGTAGTTCTGTTATGTGTTTCTCTGAGTCTTGCGTAGCTGTTAGTGCTACCAGTAGTTCTGTTATGTGTTTCTCTGAGTCTTGCGTATCTGTTAGTGCTACCAGTAGTTCTGTTATGTGTTTCTCTGAGTCTTGCGTATCTGTTAGTGCTACCAGTAGTTCTGTTATGTGTTTCTCTGAGTCATGCGTAGCTGTTAGTGCTACCAGTAGTTCTGTTATGTGTTTCTCTGAGTCTTGCGTATCTGTTAGTGCTACCAGTAGTTCTGTTATGTGTTTCTCTGAGTCTTGCGTAGCTGTTAGTGCTACCAGTAGTTCTGTTATGTGTTTCTCTGAGTCTTGCGTAGCTGTTAGTGCTGCCAGTAGTTCTGTTATGTGTTTCTCTGAGTCTTGCGTATCTGTTAGTGCTACCAGTAGTTCTGTTATGTGTTTCTCTGAGTCTTGCGTATCTGTTAGTTCTACCAGTAGTTCTGTTATGTGTTTCTCTGAGTCTTGCGTAGCTGTTAGTGCTACCAGTAGTTCTGTTATGTGTTTCTCTGAGTCTTGCGTATCTGTTAGTGCTGCCAGTAGTTCTGTTATGTGTTTCTCTGAGTCTTGCGTAGCTGTTAGTGCTGCCAGTAGTTCTGTTATGTGTTTCTCTGAGTCTTGCGTAGCTGTTAGTGCTGCCAGTAGTTCTGTTATGTGTTTCTCTGAGTCTTGCGTATCTGTTAGTGATCCCAGCAGTCCTGTTGCATGCTTTACCTTCGCCTTACGTAATTCTTAGTGATACCAGCAGTCCTGTTGTGTGATTTACCTGAGTTTTGCATAGCTGTTAGGCCTGGTCTCAGACTGGGCCGCGGAGGCATTGACCCCCGATACCCTCTCCAGCCATACCAGAGTCCTGCTGTGTATTAGTCTTACGTAGCTGTTAGTGCTACCAGTAACCCTGTTATGCTTGTTTCCCTTAGTCTTGCGTAGCTGTTAGTGCTACCAGCTGTCCTATTGTGAGGCTTACCTAAGTCTTACATAGCAGTTAGTGCTACCAGCAGCCCTGTTGTGTTTGAGTCTTCTGTAGCTGAGTGCACAGGCTGAGTGCACAGGTTGAGTGCACAGGCTGAGTATTCAAGGAAGCTGAGAGCTCAGACTGAGTCCCAGGTATTCACACTTGTGCAAGTAAACTGACTTCATTATTTATTACTTAAGAAAATGCCATTTAAATGCGAGTCTACATCAAACTGTGCACAAATATCCGCACAGTGTGTGTGTGTGTAGTCATTTAGCCAGAAAATTTGTTATAAAAATAATTGACTTTAAGTTCAGTTAAAGTAATCATTGTACATCTAGAGAAAATTACTTTAGCCGCGGAATACCCAACTAGTCACTTGAAACATTTATTAATAATAACAACAGTAATAACAATAATAATAATCTTTATTTCTGCAAGTATTTGTACGATGCAGCGTTACCTGCACACGTCTCCTGAGGGTTATAAATTCAGAGTCAATTAACATAAGATACAACACTCTGTTTTCTAAGGAACAGGTCCAGACTGTAAATCTATGAGAGGGAGACTTGAAAGCTCTTCTTGTGCCTCCAGGGGAGAGACCTGAGAGGTTCCTCCAGGACATAGATTGATCTGGAAGTCTTCTTGCTTCTCCAGGGCAAAGAGAAACCTTGGAGTCTTCTTGCGCCTCCAGGACACAGAGACCTGGTAATCTTCTTGAACCTCCAGGATAGTGACCTGGGAGAAGCCTCGTTCCTCCAGGACAAAAACCTGAGAGAAGCCTCGCGCCTCCAGGACAAAGACCTAGACGCCTTGCGCCTCCAGGACATTGACCTGGGAGAAGCATTCTTGCGCCTCCTGGAGTGTGACCTGGAAGTCTTGCGCCTCCAGAACAGAGAGAAATATGAATCTTTTTTTGTACCTCCAGGACAGTGACC